CTTCTGGGTCTCTGTTCCCCCTTTTCTCTGGGTCTTCTCTCTCCCACCTTCTTCTCCTCTGCCACTTTCCCTCTGGGATGTTTTCCCAATCGTCTTCCTCTCTTTCTGGGTTTCTCTGCCACTCACACCTTCACACCCTGATCTTGTCTGTCCTTTCTTTGTCTGTCCCCGGGTCTCTGGGTTTGAGTTTCATCTACCCTGCCTCATGTATTCCCCCCTTCTCCTCTTTCTCTCTCCCTCTCTTCTCCCCCACTCCCCACCTCTGCACCCCCCACTGTTCATTCTTCTCTTTCTGGATCTCCATGCTTGTCTCTCCCTATTCCTCCTTCCTCGTCTTCCCCCCACCTCCCTGCCCTGTCTTTCTCTTGGCCTCCTTGTCTGGGACTCTGTCTGTCTGTCCGTCTCTCTCTGTGTTCCCTGCAGTTTCTCACCAAGCACCCGGCCAAGCGCCTGGGCTCGGGCCCCGATGGAGAACCCACCATCCGCGCTCACGGCTTTTTCCGCTGGATCGACTGGGACAGGCTGGAACGATTGGAGATCGCGCCTCCGTTCAGACCCCGCCCGGTCAGTGCCCTCCCGGGAACACCACGCTGGCCCTAAGAGGGCGGACCAGCCGTGCGTTCCGATGCTTCATGGTTCCCTCCCGGTGTTTCCTGCAGTGTGGCCGCAGCGGCGAGAACTTCGACAAGTTCTTCACTCGGGCGGCGCCGGCCTTGACACCCCCTGACCGCCTGGTTCTGGCCAGCATCGACCAGGCCGAGTTCCAGGGCTTCACCTATGTCAACCCGGATTTCGTGCACCCGGATGCCCGCAGCCCCATCAGCCCAACGCCTGTGCCAGTCATGTAATCCCACCTGCCGCCACCAGGCGTCCCCACGGCTCCCTCCTCCGCCCAGGCCTTGGTCCTCGCCTCACCTTGCCACCCCCCTTTCCAATTCTAGACCTGGCTCCCCAGCGTTCTGGCCTCTGCCCTGCCCCTCGGGCTCTAACCGCCCCGCCCAAGCGTTCCTGGCGTTCCGCACTCCCAGTACGATCTCTAGAGTCTTACCGTGCGCTAGATTCTGCTGCTGTTGAGCCCTAGATTCTGACCTGCCTGAGCGTCCTGGACTCTGTCCCACCAATTTACAGAACCACCGACGCCATCCCAGTTCTTCTTTTTTTTTTTCGTTTTGTTCTTCCTTCTTCTTCTTCCTGGGAAATAGTCTCATGGGTTGGGCTGTTCTAGACTAGGATTCCAGAACATCCCCCACCTCCGAGGCCCCACCCACCGCCGCCCCAGTTCCGGAGTAAGTGGGGGGCTGTGCCCCCTTGCTCCAGTGCCCCTCTTCTGTGCTCTGGGGGTTCCTGGGACGCATGGAAGATACCCCCACACACACCTGTTCTCCGTCAGCTTTCGTCCTAGGCTCCCCCACCCCCAGACCCATCACCGCATGGCTCCTCCAGTCCTGCTCGGAACCCCACCTCTACCCAAATGCCTGCCACTCTTGGGACTCTCTGTGATCCCCTCTTCCGCCCGGCCACAGCTGCTGGAGAATAAATTTGGGATGCTGATGCTCAAGCGTTTGGATGTTTTTCTTCTAAGCTTGGAGAATGAAGGGGGATGGAGGTGGGACGATGACTGTACATAGAAACACACAGAGAGAGGCTGAGTAGGGGGCTGCGGGGGGTGGGGGGGGAGATGCAGAGGCCCATAAAGTGAGAGAAGATACCCACTGCATGAACGCAAACAGCAGAGACCCAGAGAAAGCAGAGACACACAGAGAGAGGACCAAAGTGGACACGGGAACGAAAAGGCAGCTGTACGCACAGACAGCTGAGAGTGTCAGGCAGAGATCGGGAGCACAGAGACACAAGCACGCACACATTGGCCCAGAGCAAGGTAAAGCTCCCAGGCACACAGGACAGGCTGAGTCTCGGAGGCCGGGAAGTCGGAAGAGGGAAGACAGAGGCAGCCCTGCCATTGAGAGACCGTACGACAGAGAAACCTGTGAGCTTAAGGCTCAGCGACGTGAGGCATAGGGCGGACAGACGCACCCTGCGGGCCTCTTTCCCTTGACCCACTTGCGAGTGAGGGGCGTGGAGGGGACAGTCCCAATAGACTACACTTCCCAGCGGACCCTGTGGCAGACCCTCCCCCCAGGCGCGGCCCCCGCCGCCGCCAGGGCTGATGGGAAGTGTAGTCCCTGGATGGGGACAGGCCCGTGGAACGGTGTGCTTCTGTCTGCGTTTGGAGGGGACTGAGCCCCAAAGCTTCACAGGCTTCCTTGGGGAGCCCCAGCGTCTCCTCGTCCCCGCAGACTCCTGGGTTCCCGAGACTCGGTCTAGCTGGATGCTGGGGCTCCCCCTCTCTCCCCCCCAGCACAGCCGCGGGGCCCCCATCCGTGCCCGCGGCCCCCAACCCCGACTCCGACCCTCGGCGGGCAGCCTGCCCCTTTAAGAGTGGCCCCGCTGACATCACGGCGGGGGTGGGGGGGTGCTGGCCCGGCTCCCGGCTCCGCGGCGGCTGCAGGACGCGGCTCCGCTCTGCGCCCGCCCGCTGCTCAGGGGACCCCCGGCCCGGGACGCCCCCTCCCGTCTCCTCCAGCCGCCCAGACCCCAGGCTGCGCCCCCACGCCTGGTCAGAGCCCCAGTCTTCATCAAGGGACCCCCAGGACCGCCCCTGCTGTCTATCCGTCTCAGGGTCTCTCTCTTTCTCCGTCCCTCCCTCTTTCTCTCCCTCCCTGTCTCTCTCTCTCTCTCTACCTCAAGGTCTCTGGGCCTCAGCATCTCGCAGCCCAAAGGCCTTTGGCAGTCTACCTGTCTCTCTGTGACCTCTCCACTTCCAGGAGCCCAGAATCTCTGAGCCTGGGGGAAGAGGGGGCCTNGGACGGAGTCCGAGGGTCCCAGAACGGGGCAACCATACTCTCAGCGTCCGAACCTCGGAGACTGTGGGCACGGGAGAGGGTGCGGGCCGGACCCTCGAGGGAGGCGGTCCTGGATGAGGGAGAAGGGCCCGGGCCCACAAGGGCCAGCTGTGAGTCTGAGAAGGGGTCCCCGGAAAGAGGGCTTACGTCTCCCCAGGATTGAGGGCCGATGGAGTTTGGACTTGGGGACCTCCGGGGATCCAAAAGCCTATATCCGGGAAAGGCAGGGATAAAGAAGGATAAGAAGGAGGCTTTGGGCCTGGGGAAGGGAGGGGGGTCCCAAAGGAGGAAGGGTTGGCGGTTGGAGGCGAATGAGGAGATCTGGGCGGGCCGCTGAGAGTGTGGAGGAACCGAGTGAGGAAGGAGGGGCGCCCCAAAGCGGGAGTGAGAAGGGTGCCGGTGGGCCACGTCCCAGCCGTCTGAGTCGGAGGAGCCAGTGGGGGGGAGCTGAGGTCAGCCACCTGGGACGGAGGCGGCCCGCGAGACAGGGGTTCTGACGCTGGTTTCTGAGATGAGCGGACTGGAAGGAGAGCAGGCAGCTGGCGATCAAGCCCTGGAGCCATGGGGCGGGGGTCGGAGCTCCGGCGGTCTCAGACTCCTGAATCCCTCAGGAGGAGGGAGGTGGGGGGGGAGGAATCCCTAAAGGCTGGGGTTGGGGAGGGGCCCAGACAGGGATGAAGGTTGTCTCAAGCTCCACGGTTCTTATTGGGGTGGTGTCAAGTTTAAAGAATTTCAGTTTCAAGGCTCCAGGAATTCTGGTCAAGGAGAGTGGGGGCTCAAGTCTTGGCCGCATTGTTGTGGGGGGGGGGAGTGCTGGTTAGGGCTCTTAACCATCACAGTTTAAAAGGTGATGGAGATCGTGGTACTCAGGTAGGTTGAGGGCTCTGGTTGAGATAAGATGGGGATCCCAGTTTGAGTCCCCCAAATCATGAGACTGTGTGGTTTAGGGAGAAATTCTCAGGAAAGGGTGAGTGTGGTGGCTAAGGGATTAGGATCACCCTAGAAGGAAATCTCCAGATTTAGGATTGGACTTTTTGAGGCCACAGCCATGAACTTGGAAGCTCTCTTGCTTTGAAGGTCCTGGGTTAGGGGGATCTGGGTCCAGGTTGGAGATTGAAGAGGATCTATAATTGGAAGTCTTATCTAGGGGAGCTGGAGTCCAGACTCTCTGGGAGGGGATTTGGGGGAATTTTGTAATGAGAATGGGGATTGCAGACTTCCTGATGTAGGTTTTAGAGTTCAGAGCCCTGATTCCTATTGAACGATGGTCACTTGCTCTGAATAGGGTACTGAGAGGTGGGGGTGTGGGGGGAGGATTCCCAGATCAAGGTTTGGGCATTCTGAAGTCTCTAGCCAAAACCCTGCTCCAGGTCTCTAGACCCCAATATCCTGGGAGCCAGCAGCCTGTGATGGAGTTCTAGCACCCAAGGTTCAGAGGCTTGCAGGGATTTGGGATGGTGTGGGGGATTAATGTTCTGGAATCTTGAATCTGGGTTGTGGTCCATGATTTCAGATTAGGATGCCAAATGGAGGTCAAGGCACCATACCAGAGTTAGAAAGTCAAGGTCTTGGTGTTAGAATTGGACGTTAAGGGTCAAGAGAAGAGTCCAAGGACTTCTCTGGTGGTCCAGTGGCTAAGACTCTGTGCTCCCAGTGCAGGGGGCCCGGGGTTCAATCCCTAGTCAGAGAACTAGATCCCATGTGCCACAACTAAGAGTTTTCAAGCTGCAACTAAGACCTAGCTCAGCCAAATAATTTTTTTTTTTTTTTTTTTTTTTAAGATTTCAACTAGAATGGGAGGCTTGAGGTCAAGGCCAGGGTACAGGATTAGGGTCCTCGGTTAGCGACCCACTTGGGGATTAAGAGTTCCCATTAAGGGTCAAAAAAGGGGGATCGGGGTGTCAGGTCCGGGCATGGAGTGGGGATTGGTGGCCTAGGTTAAGATTTCTAGACAAGTTACTGGTCCAAACCCTGGCTGGAGTCACAGGTCAGGACCCAGGGGGCAGATAGGAGAGAGTTCCGTTCGGGGGGTTGCTGGTTCTGACCCAGGGCCGGTGTCCCCCGTGGCTGCATGTTGTCTGGGGGACTCTAGCGGCCCCAGCGGGGCTCTCCACTGGAGCTCCCCGTTCCTCAGGCCCCGCAGGGCGCCCCCCGCCGCTGAGGATGAGTCACTGCAGCAGCCGCGCCCTGACCCTGCTGAGCAGCGTGTTCGGTGCGTGCGGCCTGCTGCTCGTGGGCATCGCCGTCAGCACGGACTACTGGCTGTACATGGAGGAGGGAACCGTGCTGCCGCAGAACCAGACCACGGAGGTCAAGATGGCGCTGCATGCTGGCCTGTGGCGAGTCTGCTTCTTTGCAGGTACAGGCCTCACCTGCCCACCAGTCAACCGTCTCCGCCTTTGCGTGGCACCCGAGAGTCCTCATCCACACTTCCCTCCCACGGGTGCCCGAAACCCAGAAATCAACCCCGTGTCTCTCCTGGACAGTCACATGTCTACCTGGAGATTCCATTTCTAAGGTTTGCCAGGTGGCCGCATTACGTAAAGAATCCGCCCGCCAGTGCAGGGAGACGCAAGAGACGCGGGTTTGATCCCTGGGTCAGGAAGATCCCCTGGAGAAGGAAATGACAACCCACTCCAGGATTCTTGCCTGGAGAATCCCATGGACAGAGGAGCCTGGCGGGCTGCAGTCCACGGGGTTGCAAAGAATCAGACATGACTGAGCAGTGGAGCCCGCGCGCGCGCACACACACACACACACACACTGAATTTCTAGCGCTTTAGTCCCTGGACTTAAGAACCCGAACGATCACACAATCTCCAGGTCCCTAATCCCCAGTAACCCCCTGGAGCCCCCAGCCCCAGAGAAACAGTAATCCTAGTTCAGAACTTGTCTCCTGGACAGTTCCGTTGTTGAATGGGAAGGATAAATAATATCTATGCCTCCCAGCTGCTAGGGACATCTCTCCCAGGAATCCTTCCCCACCTCAACCCCCAGACCTTTCCCTCTTTAAGGATCCAGGAGACCTGGCCCATAACCTCTTCTTACTAGAGACTCTGGCTTCTAGCTTGTCTTCCTCCATCCAACTTGCAACTAGGGCAACTTGCAATAGGAGCTCACAGACTCCTGGCCACACCCTTCTGTGACCCCCTAAGAGGAGCACAAGTGAAGTACAGAGTAATACAGAATAGACAGACACTAATCCCCAGAACTTTCCCATCCTGGGGTCTCTTGACTGTGCGTCCTGCCCCTGACCGCCCTGCCTTCTTATCTTCCCCCCAGGCCGGGAAAAGGGTCGCTGCGTGGCCTCAGAATATTTCCTTGAACCAGAGATCAACTTGGTGACGGAAAACACGGAGAATATTCTGAGTGAGGGGAAGCAGGGGGCTGGGAGGGTTAGGCAACCAAGGGGCAGGGTGACAGGGCGGGTCCTGGGGAAAAGGGCAGGCCAGTTGGCGCTAGTGGTAAAGAACCCGCCTGCCAATGCAGGAGACGTAAAGAGATGCGGGTTCATCCCCTGGGTCGGGAAGATCCCCTGGAGGAGGAAATGGCAACCCGCTCCAGTATTCTTACCTGGAAAATCCTTTGGACGGAGGAGCCTGGGAGGCTACAGTCCATGGGGTCGCACAGAGTCGCGCACACAAGAAAAGGGATGGAGGGGAAGGGAAGCAGAGCAGGCTTGAAAGCACGAAGAGTGGGTGTGTGAGGAGGCGGGGCCAGGTCGGAGGGGCGGAGCCTGGGAGTGGGTGGAGTCAAGAGCTAAGGGGTGGGGTCAAACCAAGGAGGTGTGGCCTGGGTGAGGGGTGGGGCCAACAGTGGAAGTTTCAGAAAGGGGCGTGGGGGTGCAGAGATGAGGAGGATTCAGAGGTGACCCCCGGAGAGTCCCCACCTCACCTCCGTCTTTCTTCCTACCCCTCCCCCAGAGACAGTGCGCACAGCCACCCCCTTCCCCATGGTCAGCCTCTTCCTCGTGTTCACCGCCTTCGTCATCAGCAACATTGGCCACATCCGCCCGCAGAGGACCATTCTGGCCTTCGTTTCCGGCATCTTCTTCATCCTCTCAGGTAAGCCCAAGGAAAGGACTGACAAGCTGCAGGACCACTTCAGGTGCCAGGAACCTGGGGCTCCTCTTCCAATAAGACCACCACTTCCTTGCTGGGTAATCCCGAAGGAGTTGCAGAACCTCTCTGAGCCCCACTTTGCTGCTCTGTGGAATGGAGCATTTCTCAGCGAGCGTTTCTTGGGTGCTAACTGGGTGGCAGGCTCTGTTCTGATACAACAACCTTGTGAGGTAAATGCTATTAATAACCCCATTTTACAGTTATGGAAACAAACACTCAGCGGAATGAAGTCATTTACTCAGGGCCATACAACCAGTGAGAGGCAGAGATGGGACTCAACCACACACATTTCGCCTCCAGAGGCTGTATTTTTAACCACTCCTGATATTTTAGCAATTAACAGTTTGCAAGTCTCTTTATGTTCTGTGCGACATATTACTGGAACATTTTTCAAACAGAAAAGTCGAAAGAACCCTGTGCCCACCACTTAGAGTTGATCATTACCACATCACAGGATTTGCTTTATCCTGTACCTGTCCATCTATCTTTCTACCCATCCATCCATCTATTTTATTATCATTTAAAAATGAATTTCAGAGCGAGTTGCAGGCATCAGTACTCTTGACTCTAGATTCTTTACCATGCCTGTCATTAGCTAGAGTTCAATGTTTGTTTATAGTTATCTTTTCTTTTGAGATTTAAGGCTCTTTTGCATGAGCAATCTCATAAACGTCTCATAACATCTCTCTCCGGGAGTTATTATTAGAACTAATTTGATAAAATAGGGATACCGGGTCTTGAAATTGTGCAGGGAGTTGCCTGAGATACCAGTGTAAGCTGGTTCCCTAGGGACTCAAGTGTCCTGAGCTCCAGAGGAGAGCTCTTTCTGAAGTGTTCCCCTCCTCCAAATTTTAGCTCAGTCCAGTCCAATTCAGTCCAACTCAGCTCAGGTCAGATCACCCCTGTTCTGACATACTTAACTCCATCAATCTGGCTCAACTGACCCCAATCTATGCTGACTCAGTTCTTCAGTTCAATTCGAATTACTTCAACATGATTTAATTAAACTCCATTGGGGCCCTTTTAATTCAGTTGTTATGTTATGAACAAAGCCCGCTGTATGTCTTGCTCCCGTTACGTCCCCTGGGGGCTGCACTCGGCCACATCTTTGGAGTCAGCTCTGCAAATAATTGGAGATGGATCTTCAAAAACCCCCTCCTCCGTCTCCTCCCCACTCCTCACCCAGCTTTCTCTGGGCTAAACCTCCCCCGTGCCTCCAACCTAACCTGACAAGACCTCTTCCCCAGGAAAGCAGGGTGCAACCTCCGTGCAAACTTGAATCACAGCATGCGGGGCCAGACACCAAGCTAAAATAAGACACATATCATATCACCATTTCAGAGTGTCAGATGGAAAAATTGTAGCCTAGAGAGACAGAAAGTGGGGCAAGGGTAGGGAGCATGGGGACTTTGATTCAACCCACCTGAAATGTTCGAAGGAAAATCCTGTTGTTCGTGATTTACAGAAGTGGAAACCAAAGAGGCGATAAAGCTGATAAATGACAGTGCTGGCACTGGAATCAAGGGTGTTCTCATCCCAAAAGCCATGCTTATACCAATGCATCAGGACCTGACTTCCCAAGGTCAAGTTAAGTATCAGTTGGTGTTGTCAGGGCTGGAAATCAGGCCTCTGATGTAACAATAGAGTAATTTAGGGGGATTGAACCCCACTTCCTGAACTTCACTTCATAGACTATGGTCTATGCACCCCACCCAAGATAGCCAAGGTTGCAACCTGTAGTGACTGAAGGTTCATGCTGCTGTGAACCTAGAAAGACCTGGGTTAAAATCCTGCCACTTACTGTGTGAGCCACAGCCTTCTTTTCTGGAACTGTTGACTGGGCAGCCTTGGTCATGGGTGGGAAAACTTTTTGCTCAGGGCCAGACAGTAAATAGTCTGGGCTTTGTTGGAGTGCCAAAGCAGCCAGAGGGGAAGCAGTGGGCCTAGTTGTGTTCCAGTAATCCTATTTAAGGAGCCTGAAATTTGAATTCAACCTAGTTTTCATGGATCGTGAGATTTTATTATTCTTTTTTCTTTTTTTTTTCTGACCATTAAAAAAAAAAAATGTAAAAACCACACTTAGCTTGCAAACTGCACAAAAACAGGCAGTGGGACCAATAGTTTTCTGACCAACCCCTGGTCTAGATCATGGATGTGAAGACCCAACACAGGGCCTGGTCTATAGCAGTAAGTGCTCAGCATGTGGTAGTTTTAAAAAAATAAATGCATACTCATGTACATTCATGAATAGTAGTAGTAGCGACAGCAACCATAATAGAAAACAGTTAATTGAGTGCCACGGTTTGGGGAAGTTCTAAGTGCTTTGTGCAAATTAAGTTATTTCTTTTTCTTCACCTCATAAGGCAGATACTATTTTTATTCCCATTTTCCATTTGAGGAAGCAGAAAGCACTCAGAAGTTCAGTTGCTCCACAGTGGAAGCGGCATTCCAGACCGGTCTTTCACCCTGGCGTTCTACTGCCTCACCACAATTAAAAGTTATAAAGACAAAGGGGAGTAGAAGAGAAGAGAAGCTGGGGACTTCCCTGGTGGTCCAGTGGCTAAGACTCCACCGTCCCAGTGCTGGGGGCCCGGGGTTCCATCCCTGGTCAGAGAACTAGATCCCACGTGCCAGCAACGAAGATCAAAGATCCCACATGCACATCTAAGACCCAGCTAGCTAAAAGAAAGAAAGGAAGGAAAGGGTGGAAGTAGTACCAGAATCTTAGATCTTGGAATGGAATGTAGTGGTGCAACCACCTCATCTTCCCAGTGAGGAAACTGAGACTTAGAAAGAGCCAAGGGTTGACCAAGGCCTGGTAAATGGCGATGTTGGCATTCAGTTTTGGAGAAAGTGGCAGGAGGGCTGCAGAAGGAAAGGGATAGGGTGTTGATGATACCTCAGGGTCCTGTGTTGGGGATAGACTAAAAGGAAAGAGATTGGAAATGGAGGAGGCTTATGCAGTGGTCCAGGCAGGAGCCGATAAGGCTCTAGCTGGGGAGGGAGATGGGAGGATAAAGGTGACTGGATGGCTTTGAGAAAGAAGGATGTTGACAGAAGAATCAATAGAACCAGATGACTGACTGGGTATGATTGGTGAGAGAAGGGGGAGGAGGCTGGAGTGACATTGGTTTTCTTTTTCCAGGTCAGATGAGGCAAGCTTCCTGTGCCTGGCTCATATTAACCCCTGCTCCTCAAACATGTTCCATGTGTCTGCTCTTTCATTCATTCACTCATCAAACAGTTACAGAAACATCTTCTATGCCATGCCCTTACTGAGCACTGGTGACATGCTGAATCTTAAATGGCAATCTTCATGCAGTCAGCCACAAAACAGCTCCCAGCTGCATGCCCATCAATGCTGGTCACACAACACTTAAATCCCTTCAGTGCCTCAATGCATTTCTATTGTGCTTAGAATACATCCCAACTCCTCACACTGACTTACAAGGTCTTACATGATTTGGCTACTGCTCAGACTTTTGGTCTCATTTTTCCTAACTCACTAACACTCTCTCCATTGCTGCACTGCCCTTGAAATGCTAATCTCAACCTCACTTTTGCAAGCATTAACCCTCCATGCTTGGAAGTCTCTTTCTCCTAATTCCCCAACTTTCCCTCTTCAGATTTTCTTTCTCTGACAATGGCACCCAATGTTGCTTTGCCCCCACTATACTACCCATCACATTCCCTATTTGATATTTGCTTTATAGCACTTATTGCTAGAGTCATCTTATTCATTTTCTGCCTCCTTCCACCAGAATGTAAACTCCAAAAGGCAGGAAGGGACTTCCCTAGTGATCCAGCAGCTAAGATGTCACACTTCCGGTGCAGGGGACCTGGGTTTGATCCTTGTCCAGGGGACTAGATCTCACATGCTGCAACTAAGAGTTCACAAGCTGCAACTAAGGAAAGAGCCCCAGTCCCGCAACTAAGACCCAACGCAGCCAAATGAATAGATAAATAAAAGGCAGAGACATGCTCATACTTGTATCTTCAGAGCCTAGGTGAGTTGCTGGTACAAAGTCCACGATGAAATATTTGTAGAAGAGATCCTTGATCAAGAAAGTTCAAGGCATTCTGAGAAAAGGGAAGATGCTTTAAGCTGACAGAGTAGGGTGCTGGAGAGGGTGGGAGGGACCATAATTTCAAAAGCAGGTGACATCTAAATTGATGCAGAAAGGGCGAGGGGGAGTTTTTCAAGTAAAGAGAGAAAAGTGCCTGGTACAGAGATGCAATTCACAGCATGTGTTAAGACCCTAGAAAGCGGTATGACTGAGGTAGCCGCCCGTGTAGCTCTCCATGGTCCTGAAATTCTTTGTTCTAAATCCAGGTTGTTCTATTCAGCTTGGAATGTAGGTGATTCCTGCCTTCTGTGCTCTAAGAATTCTGAAGCAGATGTAGTGGAGGGGGGAGGGAGAAGGCCGGATTACAGAGAAAGGAAGAGGGAAGGGAGAGAGAAAAAAGAGGGGAGGAGGAAAAAAGGGGAAGGACGGTTATTTTTAGAGAACCAGAGTCACCGTAAAATGCCCAGGAAGAAGAATGACAAGAACAGCTTCTGACATTGTTTTTAGATAACTTTCAATCATTAAAACAAAAACAAGAGCAAAAGCAACAACAGAAACCTCCTCTCTTCAGAAACGTTTGTTCCCTTCTCATCAACCCTGCTCCCAACTCCCTGTAGGGAGAATGTTTGTCTTTTAGATCTGAAATGTGAAATGGGCCTTGAGGTGAGGCAGGAGTGGTTGGCAGGTTTTCAGATCAAAAAGAGCTTGGATAATCAGACTGAGGAACGAATACTTTCTCCCATGGATACTAGGGTGCCAAGGAAGGATTTTGACAAGAGGAGGACAGAGTATGATATGGGTTTTATTTCGTTATTTAGACCAGAGATGGAACCTGGGCAACTTGCAGTGGTGGGGCAGAATCCTAACCACTGGGCT